GAATGGGTCGCATTTCGATTTTGGCTGCCATCTTGAAGCGTTGTGACGTCAGGAGGGTACGGGTTTTGCCGTGCAATCCGAGGTTGAGTCGGCCCCCCCGGCCTCGGCCAGCCCATGTACCCGATATCGTGTGACGTCCAGAGGGTACGAAATGCGACCACCATTCTTTATCCGCCTTGCTATCTTCCATCAGAACTCGTGACGTGATAACAATTTGTAAACAAATCAAATCACTATTTTTCAGCACTAGACCACTGGCAGCTTTTACGGAGGAAATAAGATAATGAGAAAGAAAGAGTTCTGTGTATCACCATGGACCAAGAGCTTGGAAAAGTGAAGGAAATCAGGTCATTTCCTTGACAAAAGCCAAGGAACGTTTTTACTTGGGAATTACATAGGTAGTAAAATTATTGCAATTCCACTGAGAGTTGTGTATGTTGCCTAGCTCATATTTGAAGGGGCCCAATTTATTGAAACACATTGCAATAAAATTAAAATAAGTTATTGCAATTTTCTATTTTGCATTGCGTATTGCCTATCTTTCTGACACATTAGAGCTCATTTTATTGATTGTTAAAATCGGCATAAATCGACTAAATTGTGTAAAAATTGCAATTTGATGGTAAAAAAATTACCATTTTATTAAAATGGAATTGCAATTTAATTTCAATATTTTCGTTGCACTGTGGTACTTGGGATGAAGGTCATTTCAATAAATAATTATACATTTTTCGCAAGTAAAATGATTTTTTCTATTAACCTCAACAGCACCGACTGGCAAACTTTAACTTCGTTTTTCTCAAGCTCTCAACTTAATTTTATTGTGATCGCTATACCTTATTAAAATAAGTGGCTCTCAAAGGGTATAGTATAATTTTTAAAGTTTTCTCGGGTGTTCCTTGTACCAAGTGATACAGAATTAACTGTTAAGCTTTGACCTTTCCTGGGCACCGACACTTTCCCGCGGGCAACCCGGTCTTGCTCACGGACGCCCAAGTTCTCTCCACGGGAACCACAGTCCTCCCCACGGGCACCACGGTCCATCCCCATGGGCACCCCGGTCCTCCTCATGGCACCCCGGTCCTCCCCATGGGCACCCCGATCCTCCCCATGGGCACCCCGGTCCTGCCCATGGGCACCCAGGTCCTGCCCATGGGGACCCATGAGCCCCCATGGGTCCCCATGAAATTCACATGGGCCCCCATGAAATTCTCATGGGCCCCTATGAAATTTTCATGCGGACACATGGGACATTTTTAACAGGGTTCACCAATTTTTAGGGTTTTTTTTCAAGTTTACGTGTGTGAAACTTAGTTTAATCTAGAAACCGTGTACAATTTCGGAAAGAACGTAAAAAAATACATAAAAATGTGATGTGTACCTTTTCCCTACGTTGCCAAATTTTCGAGAAAAATCGTCCTGAAGCGCCAAAAATGCCAAAAATTGGATTAATCATCACGTCCAAGATTCCAGGAAGTGAATTTCAAGTTTTCTTTCACTACAAATAACGTATCTAAAGTGGAAAATTGCAATGCATCTCAAGGAACATGTAATGGCGCAGATGAATGTGACAAAACGGGCCCTCAAGGTGCTTTTAGTTTATCCTTCACTCCAGTTCACCTCTTTATTCCTGTAACCTCGAGATAATCCTTGGTTCTCAAGATGCTTGCTACGGGCCAAATATACCGAACAACAGAAAATGCGTGGAGAAAGTGTCCCATGAATGTCATAATTCACTTCCTGGAACCTCCGACGTGATGATTAATCCAATTTTTGGCATTTTTGGCGCTTCAGGACGATTTTTCTCGAAAATTTGGCAACGTAGGGAAAAGGTACACATCACATTTTTGTGTATTTTTTTACGTTCTTTCCGAAATTGTACACGGTTTCTAGATTAAATTAAGTTTCACACACGTAAACTTGAAAAAACCTCTAAAAATTGGTGAAAATTGGCAACAATGGACCGTTAGGCCTTCTAAAATTCACAGGAAGCCATTTTTATGGCCAGATATGAAAAGTACTTCGAAAAATACATATAGTACACACCCATAGAGGGTGACTAAGGTCGAGAAACATTCAAAAGAGCTGCCTTCAAGTATAAAAAGGCCGTTAAAATCGACATCTCGGTGAATTTTCACATCGTGGGAATCCAGGTACAACTGTGATATTTTAATATGTTGTATGGATGGATAAGAGCTGTTACATGGTACAATATGGAAGTTGTACTCCCCTTTCTTGAACCTTAGGCGCCCGCGATTTATCGATTTTTTGCTGTTTTTGACACTTTGGGACCAATTTTCTCGGAAATTTGGCAACGTAGGAAAAAATTTTACTGAACATTTTTAATTCATTTTTTTACGTACTTTTCAAAAATGTACACAGTTTTTGGATTAAATTGAGTTTTGAATGTGTTAAATGGAAAAAACCCCTAAAATGGGCCAAAAATGGCAACAATGGGCCATTAGGCCCCTTAAAATTTATCGGAGGCCTTTAAAAAGGCCAGAAACGAAAAGTACGCAAAAAATACATAGGAATCATGTGCTGGAAGAGTGATAACAGTCGAAAAAGTCGACGAAAATAATTGTTTTTCGATTCCGGGATTTTGGGTTCGAGGCGCTGCTGCGGCCTTGCATGGGCTCCGTTCGGTCTAATATTTGGCACAGAGTCTACCTAAGACTAGTACTTTGAAAATATGAAACATTTAGCAAAATCCAGGTGGGGCCGGAAAAGGCCCAAAACGTTACTCCTCCTTTAGTCAGATCAAACTCAGGGCATGACTTTCTGAATTCTAGAATGCTGAAAAAATATCCCTTCTTTTTTTACAAGTGAGCTGATTCTCGAATAAGCTAACACTCACCTCAGCACCAGATGCTGAGGAAATTTTTTGGTCGTGGGTACTTAGAAGGTACAAGGTGGCCAAGAATCGGGGGAACCAGAAACTGTCAGGGGATTAGAAACAACTGCGAAAAATCCGAAAACAGCCAAGAAACATTCACCTACAGGAAGCGCTGCAGGACCTTAAAATTTGAATCGCCTTTGGGTGATTCCTTCTTTTAACCACACTGTCATCAATTTAATCTAATTTGAAAGATATGAAACATATCCTGGCACGGATGGTCTGCGACACCCTGCAAGTATAAAAAAAAACAGCACAAGAAGATGGTTGTCCCTTGACATATGTATCCCAATGTTTGGAATTTTTAATAAATTGATTCCTCGACTTTTAGACGACATCTTTTCCAGAGCAACTCTTTATCTAGAAATAACCTTTTAAAATTATTATGAAAATGCAACCAGAAATTTTTTTTGTTGTTATTTTGTTTGATCATATTTCTTCTAATTAAAAGCATTTGTTGCAATTTTCAGCAATTGATCTTATAAACAATTTATTGCAAGTAAAACAGCGGAAGAGGTATACTGTGGACAAGACACTCTCACACATTTGGTTACAGGTAATTTGTTACCTGTTCACTAAATATAAACTAAGGTGAAAGTATGCTGGAATGGATTCTGCTGCCTGCAGGATATCTTACTAGTTTGTAGAAGTACAGGCAAATTTGATTATATTTTCGTTTTTATTTATTGGAGATATGAGCTGGATTTGGAAGCTCCATAAAAAATTGACCAAAGTGGTTTTCTTTAAACTTGGTACATGCTTTGCAATTGAATCGAGGTATGCGAAAACGTCCGATGTCCATTTTTTGGGATTTTGAGTTTTTTGGCTTAACGTCATCTTCGAGGGTAGGCGCATCTATGTGTAGACGGATTTGACCTGTTTTTTGTTTTTTCGCCCCCATTTAGGGGGTCGAACCTCAAAAGTATGCGAAAACGTCCGATGTCCATTTACGAGGGTCATCCAATGAGGTTCCCTACCTCTTATCTTCCAAACGGAAAGAGATAAATCAAATCGGTAAAAAAGTTCTTATAAGGCATACTCTAAGCTTTAAAAGAAGCTCAAGTTTTTGAAAATTGGTCGAGGGGTTCGCGAGGAAACTTAATTTTACTGCGACAACTTCCTGTCGCCGCGCGCCCACCTGCGGAGTCTGGATGCGCGGAGAGTCGATTATTTCAGACTTGGGTTTTCGCCGCTAAGCATCATATCAAAAAGAAATTTGAAGGTTTTTATTGAGTAGACCTTACCTTACTTTTTGACGTAGTCTCCATCTCTGTTTTGACATTTCTGGTGTCAATATTGCAGCTTCTTGATGCCTTCCGCGTAGAGGCTGGCTCTTGTCTTGGCACCGGAATCCGCCATTGACAGCGCTCTGTACTTCCGAATCATTCGGATTCCGCTTTCCACCGAGGAAGTTTTTCAGCTCAGTGAACAGGCGAAAGTCACATGAGGCTGAATCGTAAGAGTACGGAAGATGGAGGGAAATTTTCTTATGCAAAGCAACTGATTCGGAAGTGTAGAGGGCTTGTCAATGACTGGTTTCGGTGCCAAGACAAGAGCCAGCCTCTACGCGGAAGGCATCAAGAAGCTGCAATATTGATACCAGAAATGTCAAAACAGAGGCAGGAACTTCGTCAAAAAGAAATGTAAGGTCTACTCAATAAAAACCTTCAAATTTCTTTTTGATATGATGCTTAGCGGCGAAAACACAAGTCTGAAATAATCGACTCTCCGCGCATCCAGACTCCGAAGGTGGGCGCGCGGCGACAGGAAGTTGTCGCAGTAAAATTAAGTTTCCTCGCGAACCCCTCGACCAATTTTCAAAA